GTGTCTCTATTTAATCTTAAAAGAAATAGAAAGAATTAAAAAAAAAAATACAATTTAGAAGCATTAAATTTTTCTTGGGATTATCTATTTTATTTATTTATTTTTATTTTGAGATGAAGTTTCGCTCTTGTTGCCCAGACTGGAGTGCAATGGTGCGGTCTTGGCTTAATGCAACCTCTGCCTCCCAGGTTCAAGTGACTCTCCTGCCTCAACCTCCCAAGTAGCTGAGACTACAGGCAGGTGCCACCAGGCCAGCTACTTTTTGTATTTTTAGTAGAGACAGGGTTTCACCATGTTGGACAGGCTGGTCTTGAATTCCTGACCTCAGGTGATCTGCCTGCCTTGGCCTCCCAAAGTGCTGGGATTACAGGCGTGAGCCACCACGCCTGGCCAGGATTATCTATTTTACAGCAAAACATTTTTCAAACATCTCCCCAAAACTGCTAAAATGGAAACTTCGTGAGGTTTGTAAGGAATGTAGTAGGATAAATAAAGGAAATGATTTTCTCCATTATTACTATTTTAAGACCTATAAAATACAATTGGTAATCTATCCAATGAACAACCTTTTAATTGTTGTTTTATTTGGAGAATATAATATATTTCTATAAGGCTTCATGGCTCACTTAAAACTTCAACCATGCACTCATACTTTTTCTCTTGAGATTTAAGTGTAATATTATGTTTGGAGCAAAATAATAAAAGCTAATTTTTATTGAGCATTTACTGTGAACCAGGCATTGTGTTAAGCACTTTACTCGTTACCTCAGTTAATCTTCAAGGGAAACTTTCATTTAGGTGCTTGTCATTTGCATGGCTCAGAGAGTTTGAGATCTTGTCCAAGTTCACTCAGACAGGGTGAGGCAGAACCGGGGTTTGAACCCAGGCATTCAAGATGTAGAGTCCAAGGTTTTAGCCACTATGTCTAGCTTCCTCTCTTGCGAAGTGGTAGGCTTTCTGGACATGTTCATTCAGAAAGTGGCTTGTGTGGTAGAGGGTAGGTTCTCCCTGGGAACTGGGATTTTGATGTTCTCTGCAATTACTCTACCCCTGTGATTTCTTGGCTGGGTAGGTGCTCATCTGACGTGAAGTGCAGGTGTGATAATAAATTTCTTGCCTCTGGCAGATTGCTAAGTATTAGAAAGTGGCAAAAAACTGTGGGCATCTTATATCTTCGGTCTCCAGTAATGAGTTCTTTGCTCCTACCAAGAGCAAGAAGCCATCCTTGCTCTTCAGAATGCTTTCTATCCTCAGCAATTTAATCATTATCTAGCGGAAGGTTGGTTTTCTATTTGCAAATCAATCGATGTAATCCACCACAAAACAGAATAAAAGAAAAAAATTATAGGATCATCCCAACAGATGCAGAAGAAGCACTGACAAACTTCAGTTCTCATTTTTAGCAAATAACAAATAGATAAGAACTTTCTTAATTTTATTTTAAAAACCTATAAAAATTATACAGCAAACAACATACTTAATGATGAAATATTAAAACCTTTTTCCCTGAGATTGAAAATGAGAAAAAGGTGCCGATTATCACAGATTCTATTCAAAATCATCCTAGAAGTTCTAGCCAATGTAGCAGGATGGTCGGGGGGAAGGATAATAATTGGAAAGGAAAAAATAAAATGTCTTTTTGTTTTTTTTTTTTGCAGATGACAATGATATGCATGTAGATAATTAAGAAGACAACTATTGAAATTAATGTTATATAACAAGGTTTATGGTTAATTTTAAAGTGTCTCTATTTAAAATGAATTGTATTTCTATATATCAACAACAAACATTTAGAAAGTGAATTTTTTTAAATGATACAGTTTACAATAGTATCAAAAATGTCAGGGCCTGGCATGGTGGCTCACGCCTATAATCCCAGCACATTGGAAGGCTGAGGCAGGTGGATCTCCTGAGATCAGGAGTTCGAGACCAGCTTGGCCAACATGGTGAAACCCCGTCTGTACTAAAAACATAAAAATTAGCTGGGCGTGGTGGCTCACGCCTATAGTCCTAGCTACTCGGAAGGCTGAGGTGCAAGAATTCCTTGAACCCAGGAGGCAGAGGTTGCAGGGAGCTGAGATCATGCCACTGCACTCCACCCTGGGCAACAGAGTGAGACTCGGTGTCAAAAAAAAAAAAAAGAAAAGAAAAATCAGATATCTAGGAATATATCTAAAGAACCATATGCAATAATTATGCACAGAAAACTATAAAGTATTATTGAGAAAAACTAAGGAAGACCTAAATATACCATGTTCATGGATCAGAAGACTTAATATTATAAATATGTCACTTCTCCTCAAATTGACCTATATATTTTGTGTAATCCCAATCAGAATCTTAGCAGACTGTGCATGAAAATTAAAACACTAATTCTAACATTTGTATATAAATGCAAAAGACCAAAGATGTCTAAGACAATCTTGAGGAGTAACAAAGCTGAAAGATACCATGTATCAGTGGGCCAGGCATGGTGGCTCACGCCTGTAATCCCAGCACTTTGGGAGGCTGAGGTGGGCGGATCACAAGGTCAGGAGATCGAGACCATCCTGGCTAACACGGTGAAACTCCATCTCCACTAAAAATACAAAAAATTAGCCAGGTGTGGTGGCAGGCGCCTGTAGTCCCAGCTACTCGGGAGGCTGAGGCAGGAGAATGGCGTGAACCCGGGAGGCAGAGCTTGCAGTGAGCTGAGATTGCACCACTGCACTCCAGCCTGGGTGACAGAGCGAGACTGTCTCAAAAAAAAAAAAAAAAAGATACCATGTATCAAGTCTTACAAATCTGCAATAATTAAGACAGTCTAGCGTTGGTGTAAGGATAGACATGTAGACCCATGGAACAGGATAGAGTTCAGAAACAGATTCATACATATGTGGTCAGGTGATGATTTCCAAAAAAAGCAGCCAATAAATGGTGCTGAGTCAACTAGAGATTCCTATAAGAAAAGATAAATACTGAGCCCTCCCTCATACCGTTCTCAAGTGATTAATTCAAGATTGATTGTAGATCTACAGGTGAAAAGTTAAAATACTGGAAGATCAAGTCTTAAAGCTAACAATTTGTAAAAAATTAAAATGCTTCTTCCTCTTTCCAGCTACTGATTACTCCAGCTTCAGCTTTTGTGGCTAATTGAATCTATGATGTGTAGTGTGTCAATACCCCTGGTCAGTGATGTCCAGGTTTGTTTTTTCCAGGGAAATTTGGCACTGGGATTCAGTCCTATTTCTCCTTCTTGAGATTCCTGGTGTTACTGAATTTGGTGATATTTCTGATCATCTTTATGCTGGTTTTGCTCCCAATCTTACTCACGAAATACAAGATCACCAACAGCAGCTTCGTGCTCATTCCTTTCAAAGACACGGGTGAGTCTAAGGCCTGGTTTACTATGAAGTGTGTTTGTTTTTCACTGTGTACCTCCCTACAATGCTTGCTTTGCTAAGAATCTTATTCTAATTCTTGGGCAACTGTATTAGTCAGGATGGTCTAGGTTATGCTGCAGAAACAAGTGATCCCATAACACTCATGCTGCTATGGAATAACAGCATGCAAGCATGACAGCATAACAGTATGAGACAGTGAGTGAGAAATAAACCTTTGTGGCTATTTGAGACTGTGAGTGAGAAATAACCACAAAGGTTCATTTCTCACCCACAGTCCATGCCCACTGTGGGCTGGTGAGCTTCACTCTGGAGCCCAAGCTGTTGGAGCAACCTCTATCTGGAGCATGGATAGTCACACATACAAGCAAAAAACAAGCTCTATATGTGGACTTACATACAAAATATATAAAAAAGACGTATCGCCAGATGTTTGGGGAGAATAGTGAAGGAAACACTAGAAGTAGAAGGAGAAAGAAATATTACTGTATTGGACACATTGGGGTTTGGACTGAAAATGGCAAATCACAAATATACAAACATATCTGTGCAAATATGTAAATATATATGACATTTCTAAATGTAATATACATATACAGTCATGTACCCCATGACAATGTTTCAATTAACAATGGATCACATATGCAATGGTGGTCCCCTAAGATTATAATACTGTATTTTTACTGTAGTTTTTCTTTGTTTAGACATATTTAGATACACAAATACTTAACATTGTGTTGCAGTTACCTACAGTATTCAGTGCAGTAACATGCTGTCCAGGTTTGTAACCTAGGAGCAATAGGCCATACCATACAGCCTAGGTGTGTAGTAGGCCATCCCATCTAAGTTTACGTAAGTACACTTCGTGATGTTCGCATGACGAAATTGCCTAAGGACATATTTATCAGACTGTATCCTCCTTGTTAAGCCATGCATGACTGTACATGCTTATAATCACAAATTGTGAAAAACAGGCAGGCTATGGCCAGGTGCGGTGACTCACGCCTGTAATCCTGGCACTTTGGGAGGCTGAGGTGGGCGGGTCACCTGAGGTCAGGAGTTCAAGACCAGCCTGGCCAACATGGCGAAAACCCATCTCTACTAAAAATACAAAAATGAGCCAGGCAAACAAAAAAAACAAGTAGGTTATAGAGACTGTAAAACTGTTTCCACTGACATTCTGGTTTTTGTTTCTTATAGATATACAATGTACAGTCTATCCAGTAAGCAGTTCTGGACTCATTTACTTTTACAGTTATATCATAGACTTGCTTTCTGGCACTGTAAGTATTTAACATAATCCTTTGTTTAGCTCCTCAATCTACTAAAAATTGATTGATTTAAAGATCAGTTTCCCGAATTTCTGCAGTGAGAGCCAAACACAAGTGTTGGTTGACATATATACCAGTAAATGAAACAGGATTTGCAGTTACCTCATCTGAAAGAACAACGTTCACCATCAACTGCTAGAATGTCAGGAAATATGCTTTGTCACTTTCAGCCATTGGCCTTTTTCTAGTTCTTTCTTTTTATTTATTATTATTATTTTTTTGAGACAGAGTCTCGCTCTGTCGCCCAGGTTGGAGTGCAGTGGTGCAATCTCGGCTCACTGCAACCTCCGCCTCCTGGGTTCAAGTGATTCTCCTGCCTCAGCCTTGTGAGTAGCTGGATTACAGGTGTGTGCCACCACGCTCAGCTAATATTTGTGTTTTTAGTAGAGATGGGGTTTCACCATGTTGGCCAGGCTGGTCTGGAACTCCTGACCTCAGGTGGTCCACTCTCCTCAGCCTCCCAAAGTACTGGGATTACAGGCGTGAGCCACCATGCCCGGCCTCTAGTCCTTCAACCTTTCTGTTGATCTGCAACAAGATGCTGACTTCCCCTACAGAAGGAAGCTTCAGTGAAAATGAACCCAGACAGAATGTTTACAATTTCTCTGACACTGATAAACCCGAACATTTTGGAGCCCCAGACTGGGTGCATGAAAGATGTGGCTCTTGTTTTCCAGAAATTACACACAGGGACATGTGTGATGTACAAACTCACACTTTCAGATGATATGCACACATACCTGCATATCATGTACATGGGCATATGAAGATTCTCTGAAATCC